GGTTGGGTGTATTATCAACACATGGAGCATTTGGACAAGATGAATGAATATGATTGGGTAAAAACCATCAAGTTCACATTAATGAATTCCATTGAACTTCATCATCGACGTCCAGAACGAGTGACTGACTGTGTTATGGCTTTAATGGTATGTAATACTACATTCACTCACATAAATTTTAATGTGTACGTCTGAAATTATACATTCATATTAGTTTATAATCATAATTTTTTTTCAACATGTATATTAACTGATTTTGTTGAGTCACATTGTCAAGATTTTGTTTTGACATACATGTTTAAAGTATAAATCTTCCCATTGTGAATATTTGGAGTCTAATTTTCATCTTACATTGAAAATGTTCAATCTTATAGCTAATATTTTAATATTCACATTTTTCATTTAAATAATGTCCTAATTGTTTTTTAGTAGAATTTTTCTCATTGTTAGTATTTGGAGCCTATTTTTCACGTCACATTGATTATGTTGGGTGAATGGTCACATTGTCAAGATTCCATTGTTGACATTTGTGTTTGAAGTATGAATCTTCTCATTGTGAATGTTTAGAGTTTGTTATCCATGTTACATTGATTATGTTGAGTCACATTATCAATATTACGTCGTTGACATTTGTGTTTCAAGTATGAATCTTCACATTGTAAATGATTGGAGTCTAGTTTCATTGTTATATCGATTACGTTGAACCATATTGTTGAGATTCCAATAGACTCAAAACACCATTGTTAGTGTTTGAAATTTGTTTTGACATTTCATTGATTACATTAAGTGAATTGTCATATTGCTGACATTTGTGTTTGAAATATGAATCTTCAAATTGTGAATGTTTGGAGTTTATTTTCCATATTACATTGATTATGTTGAGTCACATTGTCAAGGTTTTGTTTTGATATTCATGTTTGAAGTATAAGTATTCCCATTGTGAACGTTTGGAGTCTAATTTTCATCTTACATTGAAAATGTTTAATCATACAGTTGACAATTTGGCACATTTTATGTAATATTGGCTGTGTGAGCGTACCAAAATAGTGGAACCAATTTTACAAAATGCAGCACCTCGATTTCTCAAATGGAATCTAAAAAAACTTCACAAGAATGTAAAGAATTTGTCTTTGTCGTCAATGAATGATGATGAGGTTAGATACCAACATTATCCAATGTGAATAATATTATTTATTGTACTAAAACTAACAATAATCTTTATTACCAGGTTTATAAAGAGAAACTCATACTGACAGACCGTGAGAGCACACTGTTGATGCATACAATAATTCGGGATGAGGAGAATAAAAAAGATGCACCTGAGAGTATTATTCATCATGAAGTTAAAATTTAGGAAGAAATGGATATGAGCATACAAGAGGATGACATTGATGAGACATACAATGTAGAGTTGGGCAATCAACTACAATTTCAGACTAGTGTGGATCATCACATTAAAATTGTAGAAGAAATAGACATGAGTCCTAGCATGCTAAAGGATGATATTGATGTGACATATGATAGAGAGTTTGGCAATGAAGCACAATTTCAGAGCAATGCACATGATGAAGCCAATATTGAGGAAGGTGCAAAGACTGTTGCATATCTACATGCGCATGGGATGCATCAAGTCATTGTGTCAAAGGTTGCTCAATACAACATTATAGAGAAAATGGTCACTGACCATCAAAAACATTAGACCTCATCAGGAAACTACAAATTGAAAATCAGAACCTACCGGCAGCAAATGACATGAAAGACAAAATCATCTTGGAGCTGGAAACATTAATATGTAACCAGGAGGAGAATCCAACAGCTCAGAATGAGTTGTCCACCGTCAAACTTACAATTGATAATAAGAATATTGAGATAGAAAGGCAAAACAATTCCATAATTGACCTCCAAATTGAGAAGACTATACTCCAACTTGAGAAAACTATGCTAGAAGATAAAATTGATGATGATGTAGTACATGTTGTCACACAACAGATAAAGCAAGAGACTATGGATGTGGAACTAAAGCAAAATTTGAAAAAGAAGACCCAAAAAACTCTTACATCTTTGGTGAAGCGCATCAAAATCAAAAAAAAAAAAACGCATCAAAATCGAAAAAAGGAAAGAACTGAAGTTACTTGAATATAAAGACAAAAAAGGTGACAAACAGAAAAAAAAAAGTTGGAAAATTTGGAACAAAATGACAGTGAGAAGCAATGTGAAGTTGTAGATCCAGATTTTGAAGACTATTTGCACAAGCTTCGAGACTTTAAGCATCCTAAGCATAACAAGTTTAGGTTGACCAACAAAATGTTTGGAAGATCATATCTGAACAGGACAAGCAAAAGACAAGGAATATGCATAAAAATGGAAGTTACGGGTAAGCATATTTCAAACGACTTCTATGTTTTTATCCTTGTCTTATTATATCGAAATTCTAAATGTAAGTTAACTGTTTGGAGAAGAACCACCAAGGAGACTTATGTTTTATATGACGATCTTGAGTCCATAATTCAAGACAAGTCTGTAACAAACAATGTATGGTGCTTTGTACATTGTGCATTAAAGGTTATATATATTAACATTCGCATCATAATGACATTAACATTGAATATATACAGGTCATAGATGCATATGCGGAAATTTTAAGAAGCAAGCAAGAATCAATGATGATAGATTCACAACAATTTGACAAATCATTCTTTTTCAACAGCTTGTATTTGGTATAATTTGTTATTTTATTCTTTTTTTTATCTTGAATTAAAAACAAGTTTGATCCCTTATTTATAAAACTCATTTCTCACAAAGTGTTGTTAATGTTTACAGAGCATGATTAAACATGAAAACGCAGAACTACAAACCAAATTCATTGATCCTCACATCAAGCATGCAAATCAGTACTGATATCTGCACTTTTCACTATACTTTAAGTATCATTGGACCATAGTAGCGAGCGATATGGATGATAGAGTGTGGAAGTACTACAATTCAATGAGGCCCAGAGATGGTTTTGAAGACATACACCTAGCTCAAGCAAGCAGAGTGGCAATTTCAATATTTCATTCTATAATATGAAAAAATGTGCATGTTGAGTTACACATCAACGTAGTTAAAACATTATCTATTCTACACATCTAATTATATTCACAATCATAGAAAACATATATCGAATCACATATTCAGAAATTACTTTTCACATCGTATATGGTAGATACATTAACACCCTCAGACTATGTCAAGCCATTGCAAACAGTTGTTGCATGCCCTCAACAAGATCCAAATTCGTGAGTATTTACAATTAATATTCTCATTGACATAGTAGCTACAACCAATGTGAATATAAGAAAGTATTGATTCTTTTTTTTTTTTTCTTCTGTAGTTTTAATTGCGGAGTTGCACTTTGCTACATAATGAGGCAACATGCCCTTTATGAGCCGATTGAACTTGTGCTGGACAAGGAAGCTTGGTTTGCTATGAGAGTTGTGTTAGTCGAAGCATTCCTGAATGATCCTGAAAGAATAAATCATGCAATTTTTGTTATTGACACCAAGGAGGATGTATCTGAGAACTAAACTTCATATTTTCATACCCCATAATTTTCTTTTGATGTATTGATGACACAATGTTAACATCAGGTTTTGTCTAAGTGCAATATGTTTTGTATATGATATACCAGTCACTAACATGTGAACTTGGGTATTGTAAGTTAGTAAACAATGATTCCACAAAGTTGTTGATGTGAATAGCTATATACATTTTGTCTACTAAGAAATGTACTTTTAATATGAATGTTTTTTCTTGGTCTAATTCATGGTGTATGAGTATTATTAGTCATTATATGTCTTTGTTAAGTACAACACAATGTGAAAGTTCACATATGTATATCATATGTTCACCTTGCCAACACATATTGGGGATATATGTAACTTTTCTACATTTTATTTTGCAAAAAATCAAAACAAATTATTTCAAAAAAAAAAGAAAAGAAAATGTAAAGAAACTACAAAATTACAAATTTCATAGAACAAATCACCTTTTTATTGACAAATTGTATCAAAATATGAAAATTCACATTAAGAAGCTTGCACTAATAAGTACACCCACACATAAACTACTAAATTGTTCACTAATGCAAATGTATGTAACATTCACAACAGTATGTTATTTATCTAAAACAAATTGTGCACCATAAATATTCACAAGTCAACATAATATTCACAACAATATCCAACACACGAACCAATAGAACTCTATATTTGATCTTTACACAACTTTAATTATAGCTGCCCATTTTTTTACATCTACCATACCTCAAATCTATTCAAAAACATATATCATATTCCACCCATCAACACATAATGTGTATATATGTAACAAGATAACATTTTATTTTTCTAAAACTGATAAACAAACTATTTCATAAATAAACAAAATAAAAAAAATAAAAAAACTACAAAGTAACAAATTGCATAGAATGAATGAATTCCTTCTTATTGAAAAATTGTATCGAAATACAAAACAAGTACACCAATGTATTAACTAATAAAATGTGTATCCAATGCAAATGTATGTAACGTTCACAATGGTATCTTATTTATCTAAAAAAAAAAAACACTATAAATGTTCAAAACTGAATGTGAAATTCACAATGTTCATCAATATATCAACCAATAAAACTTTGTATTGGCTCTTTACACGACTTCTGATTGTACTTGCCCATCTTTCCACATCTGCCACATCTGATTTGACTTACTTTTTTCCCTCGAGATGGTATTATACTCTTTCTCGGCCTACCAGCTGGCCGTTTTTACAATTGGAGGTAATATGATAAAATCGCTAAAAGAAAAAGCTGGTTTCTCCACAGATGGTATTGGGAAAATAGCTGTTGCATATGCTTCCCTATAATTCTCTACATGAAAATATTTTTCAACACAATCATTAAGATAATATGCACTCCTTTGGATAGCCGCAACAGCATGTTCACAAGGAAATCCTTTTAACTTCTACTAGTAACAAGAACAAACACGGCGTCCAATAACAACTGTAACTGATGGAAACGAATGCACCTCGAACACATCATCATTAGCTTTACTCATATTCCATGACCTATTAGTATTGAATGAATCTTGGAGGTTAGTCTCAAAGGTAAGGCGAATAATTCCATTCCACTTGTTTGCAATCTCCCTTCGCTCTGACATTTGACACATTATTTGATTCCGGACAGTATCAACCAATTTTGTTATTGGAAGATTTTGTGCTCTTTTGATCCAATTGTTGAATGATTCAGCAGCATTGGATATCATCTCACCATATTGCTGTCCCCTAACACATGACAGCAAAAATTGTCACATTTTAATGCCATATATGACATTTCACATTGTTATAACAACACAAAAATATAAACAATGTACATATAACTATTATTATATTCCATGAAACACACAATTGTACACACTTTACCTAAAGTAAGCATTTGCCCAATGTTCAAGTTCCAACCCTAGCAATAAGTTATATGCTTGTTGCTTCCCCTCACTCTTCAACTCTTCTAGTAACGCATGAAAACCCGTCATAGTAGGTTCATATGCACAATCACCCAACTTCCCTATTAAGTGTTCTTTGAAACCATTCTTCATACCCTTCAACTTGTCTCTAAAATTATTCTGTAGGTGTTGTAAACACCATCCATGATATGCTGATGGAAATGCCTTTGGCATTGCTTCCAAAGGCCCTAGGTTACGATCGGATACATATGTCATGCATCTATCATTAGCAATTACTTTTGACAGTTCATATGGAAACCATGACCAATTCAATTCACTCTCCGAATCAACAATTGCAAAGGCTATTGGAAACAATCCTAAAAACAAAACCAATGTTAACAGTCACAATTGACACACAAAAAGTAAACAAATGTAAAACTTCACATCAAAAAGTTAAACAAACCTTGGTTACCATCTTTAGCTGTTGTTGCAAGTAATTGCCCTTTGTATCTCCCCTTTAGAAATGTTCCATCAAGAAAAAGCAAAGGGCAACAATATTTAAAACCATTTATGCACACAGCGAATGCTACAAAAAACCTTTTAAACTGACTAGTCTTCAAATCATAGTTAATATTGATATGACTTCCCATATTATAACGCTGAACAGCATTACCATGGTCATACGATGTTAAGTAATCACCATACATAGCCTCTCTCGCTTTCTCAACACTTAACGATGCTACATGGTTGCTGATATCAAGTCCATAGTTTGTCTTGAAAGTATATGCCACATCAGTGGGGCGCTTTAGTGGTTTGTCCCTAACACGCTTAGATATAACATTTGACACCAAATTAGAGCTGAGCCTTGGATTTTTTGAAGTACGAACATCAGCACCACAACTATGTATCTTAGTCCATCTCTTAAGGTAGAAAAATTGGTTTGCTTTTGGGCTCTACCATGCATAGACCACAAACATCCCCTATCATCTCTATGTGAACATACAACAATAATTCGTTCCGAATCGTTCACCCACATTACACTGTATATTTGCATAAAACAGTACGAAACTCAAATGCTCCTCCTGTAAAACATTAACCAACATGCATAATACCATTTGCCCAAACTGAAGACAATAAAACCTTCTCACTGTGCGCACAGTATCTACAAAGCAAATTTGTTTGATCCTCATCTTCAATGCATGGATTTGCTAAACTACTATGTCTATCAGTGCCCAATTTTTGGTCAACAACAACATCAATTCTTTCAACTCTAATTGATTTACCAAGCAATAACATGTTTTGCAATTCCTCATTGTTATCCAAATGACAATTCTTATACCTCGGCAGTTAGTAAAACATAGGGGCAGTCAGTAAAACATAGTGATTGAATCAGCAGACAAATCACACCATTTGTTGCACACACATTTCACTAACTAGTCAAAGGAAAATGATTGAACCACATTTATCACAAACATGTTTGACCTATAGCAGCACAACAACATGAAAAAATCTATTTGTCTTGTATCACTCTACAAAATCATCAATAGTACATAAAATAATTTGAATATTCAATCGCATTCATATGTGTGAAGATTTGTTAACAAAATGAAATGTATCAGGATTTTTAAATAGTTCAAATATTCACATCATACAAAAAAAGCTCAGCCTCCTCAACAAACAATCATAAGTCCTACATTTATCATCATACACACCACATACAACAAATTTTAAGCTCACAGTATACACACATTCATACAATTTTAATTATAAAATTCATATATTGATAGCGTGAACTTCCAGTTCACTAAATGCTTAACAACAGCTTGTTCAATTACTGATGCAACAAAACTTCATCATTCAAAATTTCACATGAACACAATGATTTCATCACAATAACGAATCAATCACTAATTGCATGACATAAACATCACGTAATCAATTGATGATAAACGATGAAGAACGACGAAGAACAATGAAGAACAGAACAAATCACAACAGCAATCTAAAACAAAAACTAACCTTCTCCAGAATATCGACTGAAAATCAGACAAAATCGCAAATTGCAAATCGAAATCGCGCAAAACCTAGAGCTTCAATAATCGCAAAATCGCTCCCAATCTATAGCTTCAGAAACTAGCAAATCGCAAATGGCAAAGAGAAATCAGAAATTGCAAAGAATTTAGAATCCAAACACAGATCGTAGACTTCCCAAAAATGATATTCAAACAACAAGTTATATATATATATATATATATAAGGGTAAAATGGTCAAAAAAATATATAATAAAACTGAAAACAGTACCTTTGGGTCTAAAAGTGTAAACTTTAGGATTTAACAAAATAAAAATAAAAAACATGGACTGATTGGTATAGAAGTATCTGAAATAGGATTTTCTGGTAATTTTTCTCTTTTTTAAAGGCCCTCTTATTAAGATTATATAAGATAAATGATTTATAGTATTTTTATAATAGTTGAGATCCTTTAACATTTTCATAGAGAAAATCAACTCAGAAAAATTTTCATCTAATTTAGAGAAATTTTGGCCTGACACAAAAAAAATTTCAATTTACACAAAGAGATTTATTTAATTTCAAAGAAAAATTTTAAAATTTATCCGATATAATGACAAAAAAATTTCGGCGATCATAACTAATAAAAAAAATAGAAAATGCTATGAACCCAAATAATTTATCAAATTTAAACCATTCACATGAGTGTAAGATCCATACAAATCCACATATGTATGGGTTTCACAGCTATGTGAGAATTCAAATGGGTGTAAGACCCATCCAAACCCACATACCTATGAGCTCACAGTCATAAGGTTTGGCAAAAAATTTAATAAGTTATTTGAATAAATACTGTTAGAGATCACAAAAATGTTGTTAAAATTTCTATCAAATATTTTATATGAATATAAGATCATAATATAAATCCCACATTATGTGAGATATTTTTTAAAAATTTTGATAAAATTTGTGGGCTCTCTAGCATTTTTATATTTGAATTTCCCTAGCCTACCTTGAAAAAAAGAGAGAAAATTATCTTCTACCTCTAATAGCATACAGGCATGTTCCTAATTTAAATTTTCCCAAACAGAAATTGGTTGTGGGCAGGCCCCAAAATGGGTGCAATCAGAAGAGCGACGACGAACATGATCCTCAGAGATATCTTCCGTCCTTCCCTCAGATCACTGTCACTGTCCTTGGGATCTGCCCGCATGTTCCGAACCTCGCTGCCGAGCTTGAGTGCGCCCCTCCGCCTCATGTGCCGGAGTATCGGCTCCTGCCCCGTCCGTTGCGCCGCCCTGGATTCCGGCGACGGCGGCAAGAAGGCTCCGGCACGGCTGTCTCAGATTCAGCAACTCATGCTGGATGCCGAAGAGAGAGCTGCTTCTGCCGGCAACGAACCGATTCCCAAAATCAAATTAGGTAGGTTTCTTCAAAACACTCCTTTGACTCTTGTTTGCACTTTTCAGTATGAAATTAACACTAATAATTACTTATTTTATTGCATTATGTTGATTATGGAATTCAATTTGTTTTTGTTTTTGTTGTTGCTCTTGAGTTTTGTACAATTTTTGTGGTACGTGTTGTTTTGAAGATTTGGTAACGTGAGTAGGAGATGATGGAATAAATTGATGTTGTTATTGGCTAAGCCATGGGAACTGATTCTAGATCTGAATTATAGGTTCATAAAAATGATTTTACTGCTATGAAAACATAACTTTGCCATTTATAACTTAAGGTTGCACACTATAACTCCGCCATTCATAACTTTCACATAAATTAAAAAAAAAAAAAAATCGTATCTTTACTACAAAGATCGTAACTTTTTTTTTTTTACATTGTAGAATTTCCCGTTACTGTATGATGTAATCATAATTTATAGTAACATACCTCCTAAGAAGCATGGACATAACATGGACACACATGTTAATCATGAAAACAGTGCAGGATCCACACAAAATATTAAGACATACCTGCAAACAACACTGCTAAGCTAAACAACAAAACCATATTAATATGTAGTTTTATGCTCTCCAACATTAGATTAAGTGGGAAACCTTGGTATCATGTTTCAAATGTGAACCCTCATTTTCTTTCTCAACTTAATATGCAAGTGTAACAAATCCTGCTAATAGGCTAGTCTTCTAGATCAAGAAATTTTTTTCCCTAATAGTCTCCTAACAAATGCATAGGCACACCAGTTGTCAATTAGTGGCATGATCACTGGAGTATACGCTATTCCATTTTCTGTTACTCCATTATTGTCATCTCTTTTTGTCCATAAATACCAGTGGAAGTCTACTTCCAGAAATGTATCTGGATTCCGTATAAGCTATTGATCTTCCTCTTCTTCAAAGATCTTGTTCATAGGTGCCCTTCTTTTCCATTACTTTCCTGCCTTTTTTTCTCTTTACTTTTTTTTTCCCCCCATATTTCCTTCCTACCAACACCATTTATTGGCAACTTTTGTAGGACTTAACATGCATTAACATATTGCTTGTTGCATATTAGGCTACTTGGTTATTTAGTGAATATGTATACCTCAATGCCATTTTAATTGAATTTAGCTGTTATGGAGCCCCCACCCCCTGATCGCATCACTGGTCTTTGCTAATGAAAGGCAAAATGTTTAAAAGAGCTACTTTGCATTCCTTAGTGTCTTTTGTATCTACAACGTGCTTTTTCTGGTGAGTCTGCTGCTGAGTCCAGAGTAAACCAACCAAACCAAACCAAACCAAGCAAAGCCTTAAGTCTCATCAAATGGGGTCGGTTACATAAATTCTCCTTCTCCACGCAGCTCTATCAAAGGCCATTTCATTAGTCAAATTAAGTAAATCCATATATCTATTTACAACACTAACCAACGTTAATCTAGATTTACTCGGCCCCCTAACACTTCTATCTACCATCACTGCATTGCATCTCTTCACTATTGCCTCTATTAGTCTCCGTTGAATATGACCAAACCATCTTAATCGATTCTCTCTCAACTTATCTTCTATCGGTGCTACTCCTACCCATTTCCAAATACACTTATTCCTAATTCTGTCTTGTCTAGTTTTGCCGCACATTCACCTCAATATTCTTATCTCAGCAACGCTCATCTTATCAACATATTGTTTCTTGATTGTCCAACTATCCGTCCCATACAACATCGCTGGTCTAATAACCGTTCTATAGAACTTACTTTTTAGTCTAGTGGGTATTCGTTTATCGCATAGTACCCCAGACGCACTTCTCCACTTAAGCCATCCCGCCTTAATCCTATGGGCTACATCCGCATCAATCTCCCCCACCGCTGTGATAATCGACACTAAATAACGAAAATGTTCACTCTTAGGCAGTTCTTGGTTCTCATTCTTCACTTCTCCTTTACTTTCATTGTTACTGTTATTAAATTTGCACTCCATATACTCTGTCTTAGTTCTGCTTATCCTGAATCCTTTAGATTCAAGTGTTTTTCTCCAAATCTCCAATTTTGTGTTCACTCCTCCTCTAGTCTCATTTACTAACACGATATCATCTGCAAAAAGTATACACCATGACACGTCATCCTAAATCTTTCTCGTCAACTCATCCATAACTAAAGCAAAAAGATAAGGGCTTGTGGTAGATCCTTGGTATAACCTTACAGTGATAGGAAATTCATTTGTCTCTCCAGCAGATAATCTAATAGTGGTCACCACCCTTTCATACATGTCCCTAATCACATCAATGTAATCTTTTGTCGCCCATTTTTTCTCTAACACTCACCATATTATATCTCGAGGCACTCCATCACATGTTTTCTTAAGATTGATAAACATCATATGAATGCCTCTTTTCTTTTCTCTATATTTTTCTATTACTCTCCTCAATAGATAGATCGCTTCCATTGTTGACCTGCCAGGTATAAATCAAAATTGATTCTTTGACACCTTTGTCATATCTTGCAATTGGCATTCCATCACCCTCTCCAACACTTTCATTATATGGCACATTAGCTGAGTCCAGAGTGCTGAAGCTAAAAATGAGCCTTGAGAGTGGAGGCCCTTCTTGATTGGTAACTCAAACTTATTTTGATATCTCATGTTAATACACTTTTTGTAATGATTCTATTCACTTTTCATGAAGGTTATACTTTCATTACTTATTGAACATTTGAGGTCTTCTGTTAAAGAGGGAAGCATAAGTAGGGTCTCTATGTGAAGAGAATGAAATCTTCTTTCTGTATATTTCTAGTGGAAACAATGTCTTACATGGGAACTGTAGTTGTTTAGCCTCCTGCATTTCCATGAACCACTCTTATATATGAAGCATTGGTGGAATGCCACCATGTTGGGCTCCATTTTGACTTGATAAAGATCTTGCTTCTCTCCGTAGTAAATGTATCTCTCTTAATTCTGTGATTTACTGTCAAAGAAAGAGAAAAAAAGTGTTGGTAAAAATTGAAAGAGATGTCTAGTTTTCTTTTAGGATTATAGGACAGTCAGTCATATTATATTTCTGAAAATATCTGCTGGAGACTGTTTATTTTCTGAAATTCAAATTATTCCACACATCTATGGTAAAGCAGTATGTTTTATATTCCAATATCTTTTATATTTTGTGTCTTTCAGACCATGTTACAGTGAACTTTGCGAGAAGTGGTGGGCCTGGTGGTCAAAATGTCAATAAAGGTTTGACAATTTTTTTTGTCTTTCACAATTGAGCAAAGTTCTGCTTCCTTTCCTTTTAATTGTGATGCTGTTCCATTTGTGCTGCTATTTATTCAAGATTATTTTTGTTTATAATTTTTATATATTGCAGTGAACACCAAGGTGGACATGCGGTTCAATGTTAAAAATGCCTATTGGTTAAGTGAGAGGGTCAGGGAGAGGATTATCCAAATGGTTAGTTACTCAAAACTCCTTATCATGTGCTATATATTAGACAATGTGATTTATAATAAATGTTTTGTGAGAAGTGAGAACTGGAGTTGGCAGCCATCCTCCTTGCCCTAGCCTTGGGTTTTCAGGGCACATAATAGAAGATCCACACAACCTAAGTAGGTTTTGGATGGGAGATTTGCTCTGCCAGAAATGATTTATTCTATGCTTTCTTTTTTGGGAGGTAACTGTGGTTTTATAATAAAACTAAAAATGTACAATATCAAGAGGAGCATTTCCCTTTGTAAAAAAAGAACTAAGAATCTGCTTTGACAAGGATACCACAAACACCCATAAACCTCAATTACAAGGACGAAAGCTGATACATCAATAAAACTATGGCCCTGCTTCCATGAATATTCCATCTAAGAGTTAGGGTTGAATGCTTGCTACCTAGTTCTTGGAACTTCTCCATCTCACTGCTCTTACTATAACCATATTCTTAGGTTGTTTAGAAATCTTCCAATTCCTGTTTTCCCCTCTAAAGATGCTTTGACTTCTTTCATTCTATATATGACATTGGTGCTGCGAGTGCAATCTTTTTTGACTTCATAATCAGTCATGCACCCTTAGGATTGATCTGCTCTACTTCATATTGACAATGTCTTATTTTCTCTGATTGGAGCTCTGATTCAACAATATTTGTGGAGCATTTGCAACATATCAACGCTTAAAAATACATAATTAACAGATTAAGCAAATGCTGCAGATGACACGATGCAATCAGTTACTGCGTAAATACCTCATTCACCACCCTATCCCTTGTACTTTGTCTATTTAAGCAAATGCTGCACATGACATGGCGCAATCAGTTGCTGTAGAAATATTTCACTCACCATCCTATCCTTATACGTCACAAGATAAAAGGAGCATTTTGGGATAGCTTGAGTTGTACCAGATGAGAAACGATGGCACAGTATAAGTTATTCTATTTTGTAAAAGAATGGTGTAATTGAAACTCCTTGCTACGTAATATACCACATTGTTTAGATAAATATGCACCCAACATAATTTTGGCTGGTTGTATGATTGGTCATCTTGAGAGGATAACATAATTCAAGATGTCCTTGGTTTCGATAATGTGGATCTAATTCACCTGCTGCAGTATCTCTACTACCAATATATTTAGACTCTTTCCTCCTATTTATCTTTCCCTTGCCATGCTTCGTAACTTGCTAGAGATTTTTTCAATTTAGCTACGTCTTGTATTGTTTGGGAACAGTCAAGAATGTTGTCCTTTTCTCTTTAATTTTTTCGTTTGAGAATACTTTTTCTATTGTTGTTGTTACCCTTTATGACTTTTCTTGTTCTGAACAGGAAAAGAATCGGATCAACAAATACGGGGAGCTTGTGATTTCTTCAACAAAGACCAGAACACAAAAGTTAACTTTTGCCCACTACTCCTTTCTGTTACCCATTTTGATTATATATTACCAAACCATTTGGTTTTATGTTTCTTGTACAGGGGTAACATTGAAGATGCTTTGGAGAAACTACAGGTACAAATAAGGAAACTACAGGTAGTAATGGGTGCATGTGTATTGTACTTTTTAATGCAATATCAATATACATCCACTACTTCGATATGGTTCAAATGGTAACAGATAATATGAAGTGTTGAACCTAATTTTTTGGCACATTGTTCAAGTCAACATCCTAATTGTTCATATTTCAATAAGTTCATGCTGCTAGTAATTCATGTTCTGGCCATTGACAGATGTGCTGTCAATAATCTTCATAGTTGATGTTTTGGTGATCTCACTTGTTTCTTGACATAGTTTTCCGGAATTGAATGAATCAGGCGATTATTGATGGTGCTTCATATGTCCCACCACCTCCTTCAGAAGAGCAAGTCAAAAAAATTGCCAAGTTGTAAGAGCTTTTGTCTTTGCAAATTAATTTGAGTCTTGCTGCATGCTATTCTATTGTATTACATTCCTGTTATGTCTGTGCGTAGTGGAGGGCCAAATTAATTATTCATATCATTACTCTTTTGTAAAAGGGCTGCCATTGGAGAGCAGAAAAGGCTGCAAAGCAAGAAGGTTCTTTCACAAAAGAAATCTTTCAGAAGAGGCCGAGACAGTTGGGACTGACCACCAGACTGTTAGGTCTTGTATGCTTACACATGTAAGTTTCACTATTTTCCTCGTGCAGAGTAGACACGTGTAAGTTTCACTACCTCATGTCTCCTTACGTTGTGCTACATCTGGGATTCTCTTGAAGTTGTGTACAGAATTGACAGTTTACATTGATAATGAATATTTTTAGTTAAGAGTTCCGGTAGTTCAAGTAATGTATGTTATTCAATGTTTCACCCCTTGATTTTGACTGTTGTATTTTCAACGTTTGCTGGTTTATGATGTATATGCGTGGGCATGTGTTTAGGTTAGCAAGGAAATAATCAAACATATGTTCTGTTGGAAATCTCATTGTAAAGTGTTTGGTTGCTTTTGGTATAGTTTTCTAATTATGATTTGAGAATAGGAGTTGTATTTTGAGTTTGTGAGTTCTGAAATTATGATTTAAGTGTGGAAAATTGTTTTGGTGAAAAAGTTTTGAATTGGGTGGAAAATTTTTGATGTGACATGATATTTGATACAAAAACTTACAACTTATAACTAAACACACAACTCAAAATTCTATTAAAGCTTATAAAAAATTTAAAAAAATTTGAAAAATATTTTTTGTTGAATATATAAAAATTAACGTGTCAATTGAAAAAAAAAAAAAAAAAAAGATTCACTTTGCCGGTCAACCGGCCCGACGACCGGTTAGTCTAAATTTTTCTGTCTTCGACCGAGTTTTTAAAAGTGAACATGGAATTAATTTTTAAAAGTTACAAACAAACACAATAGGCAAATCATAGGGTGGAACTAAAGCTCCAAAACCGTTCCAAACACAGCCTTTGATTTTTATATAAAAACTATCAACTCATCAGAACCCAAATTTTCAGTTGTGAAAATCTTCAGAAAAAAGAGTAATGGTGCTTAACCATGCATGTGTGTGTGTGTGTGAGAGAGAGAGAGAGAGAGAGAGAGAGAGAGAGCATATGACATGATTTCTACTTCATATTCTTTAGAAATCATCTTTACAAATCATATTCTTATGTCTGCAAGAGGAAGAAGGAAAAAACTAATTACTAACTGAAAACCTTTTAATTTACATACTGAATCAAAAAAAGATTTGTATAATCCCTTTGTGATGGTTCTATATAATTCCAATCCCTGAACCCTAGACTTAAATTGATCATTGACTCAACCACTAGATTAGAAGAGGATAGGCTATACATCTTCTTGTCTCACTTCCTGATTACATGCTCCTCACCAGATTTGAGATCGATGTGCTTGAACCATCGGCTTCCACCCTTGCTTGAACTTGAACTTGCCCCGCTAGTTGCCACATGTGCGATGTCTAATCCCTTCCCTACGGGTAGAAACACAGATCGCACTAGTCGACGAGATCCGCCATCAACAACACTACGCCATCTAAAATCTGAAACTGCTCTCGAGCTAGCATTCTTACATACCAAAACGGCGCCCCTGTGACCTAAATTTGCCACTCTCAATATTTTTGCAAAGTCATTCCTCCTACAGTCCACCACCAAGAAATCTATACCTATCAAACCTCCCATCACTTCCTCTGGTTCGCCAACAACAACTTCCGGCGACAGACTAGCCTTTTCCATGGCTTCGATGTACGCTGACCTCGAATCTTCATCTGGAACTATGCATACGTGTCTTCCATCCGTGTGTCGGCTTGCAACAGCAAGGCCAATGCTTGTGGCAATAACTCCACCTCGTGACCATGTTTCTACAATCAATCTTGCATTCCACCCTGCAGCCATGGCTGAAATGAGCTCTGCTACACCCGATTCGTGGAAACGTTCACACTGGATAAACATACAGAGACAGATCAAAAACCAATTCAGATGGAAAAGAAAACACAAAAAACACCAACCTATGTAGGTGAATCATCGTGAAGGTTGGTTTCTTACAGATTTGACAGTATCAATATAAGCTTTCAAAGCCGTCTCTGGAGACCAAACTAGCTTCATCTCTTCCTCTTTTTTCTTCCCTGTTCTGTTCTTTCTTCTTCTTCTTCAAATTGTATTTTGTTTTCCTTGGTTGCAAAGCAAAATGATGATGCTGTGGTGGGTATGTTAAAGATTGGCTTTTTAAATAGAGAAAGTGACCCCCGAGAAAATGGAGGTCTTTTTCATATAGTTGACATATGCATCCGCGCAAATCCAACGTGTGGATTGGGATTACATTACAATGGACTAATCCTGGTTTTTCTAGTTCTGGAATATAATATTCGTTAGGACCTCTTCGTCAGATTAAGGAATACCCAAGCCGTACAAACTTATTCCAAGATTGCTGCCAAGTACCAACCAAAGGACCTAATATGCTGTTTGTGGGCATGTTGAGCTCAGATAACAGCTGTCTGACTTGGAATTAACATAAGATGTACATTCAACCACGAGTCATAATCTTATCATCCAACCATATTGACTTTTGTGATTCTCAGGATTAGGATCATAAATGAGTAGATTCAAGCTGAGTTGTGTAATAAGTTGTTTAAGTATGATTAAATTTGACTTGTTTACATTTTGAGTAGATTCTAAACGAGTGGCTTGAATTTTTGTTGTGTATATGGTAGAGTCAAGCAAAGTAATAAATTCTTCAAGTTTGTCTTAAAAACTTAACGAGTTTTAAATATGTTTAAGTTTAAATTATTTACCTAACGAATTATTCTTAAATGAGCTGAATATAAATCGAGCTTAAATAATTTGGCTCACAGCCAACTCAAGCTAGACGACAAAGGCCCTGTTTGGTAGGGCTTATTTCCAACTTTTAACTTAATTTAAGCTATTTTGATGTGTTTGGTCCAACTTAACAATACAGCTTATAATTTTTTGTAAGTCAAAAAATAACTTATTCTTTAAGTGGAGGAGGAGAAACTTAATTTATAAGTCAAAAATCAGCTTATGTTCACAGTTATTAGCTATAAGCTATTAGATTATAAATTATAATCACTTTCCCACGGCTCTACCAAACGGGCCTAAAGTCTTGCACCGTAGTGATTGTCACGCTAGACAAAAACAAAAAATTATTTTCAGTTTCACATTTCTGAATTTAGATTTTTTACCCCCTCACGCATCACCTACTTGGCAAGCTTATCTGATTCTTCACTGAATTTTCATGTTTTTTCTCCTTGTAAATAACAACAACAACAACAACAACAACAAAACAAAAAAAAAAACCTCAGCAGCTCATTAAAATAGATGAATGATTTGCCAAGTGTTTTAATCGGTGGCTATTTTATACATTTGCTTTGCTCTTTCAATTGGTGATATATTTGACTTTGGCAACTCCACATTTTTCAGCTGTGCCATGATTCAACAAAAATGACTAAAATTTCCATAATCCTTCCCTTTTCTTTTTGAAAATGATGTGAAAAGTTGATATTTATTTTATGAATTATTCAAAAGTTTTGAAATATTTATTTATCAAGTTTACAACTTTTTTTTTTAAATTATATTTATTACTAATAATGGTAGTGGTCGTAGTCTCACAATAGGCAGAGTTGATTTGATCCATCTTTCTCGACTTGATTAGTTATTTGGTGCAGTTTATTTAAATTGTTTATATATATATATATATATCAAAAATGTTTAAGACCCTCTTTCCCCCACACCCTTTGAATCCCTTTGCTTTTGATTGGTCTATTTTTCTTCTTTTCTTTTTTTTTTTCTTCTAGTTCTGGAATATAATATTCGTTAGGACCTCTTAGTCAGATTAAGGAATACCCAAGCCGTACAAACTTATTCCAAGATTGCTTCCAAGTACCAACCAAAGGACCTAATATGCTGTTTGTGGGCATGTTGAGCTCAGATAACAGCTGTCTGATTTGGAATTAACATACGATGTACATTCAACCACGAGTCATAATCTTATCATCCAACCATATTGACTTTTGTGATTCTCAGGATTAGGATCATAAATGAGTAGATTCAAGCTGAGTTGTGTAATAAGGTGTTTAAGTATGATTAAATTTGACTGGTTTACATTTTGAGTAGATTCTAAACGAATGGCTTGAATTTTTGTTGTGTATATAATAGAGTGAAGCAAAGTAATAAAGTGTTCAAGTTTGTCTTAAAAACTTAACGAGTTTTAAATATGTTTAAGTTTAAATTATTTACCTAACGAATTATTCTTAAATGAGCTGAATATGGGGTGTTTGTTTCAGTTTTTCAGAGCTAACTTATAGTTTTTAGCTTTGAAAAAGTTATTTTGGACTATTTGGTTAAACTTATTTCAAACAGCTTCTGATTCTAACAGCTTATTTTAACTCAAAAAAGCTGATTCTGAGAAACTGCTCACCCCCTTCTGATTATCAGCTTCTACTGTGGACATGTTAATTTATGGTTATACTCTTAAATTTTTTTATTTTTTATTTTTTTAAAAATAGAAAAAGACTCAAATGGACTATAGATTATTATTATTTTTTTTTATGAGAAATGTTGACAAACAAAAAATAAAAATTAATTGAAAAACTTATTTCACAGCTTATTTAACAAACACTACTCAGCAACTTAAATCTATAATCCAACAGCTGCACCTAGGGGTGAGCAGCGGATATACCGATCCGCCAAAACCGACCGAACCAAACCGATCCGCCGCATTTTGGACGGATGCGTGATGACGAGCGGATGGTTGCAGATTGATTTTTTCTAATCCACCTAGTTTTGGACGGATGACGGATTTGAGATTTTTTTGGTCGCAACCGAACCGCCAAACCGCGAACACCCCTAGTAATTTGTAAGACTTTGTGTTTTTAATTTATTTAAATATTTTGTTTGTATTTTCAATTGAAAAAGAGTTTAAATATTCTGTTGAAAAAAAGTTTTCAACTTGAATATATTTTTTGAATTGAAAAAAATAAACGTATTATTCATATATATTTTTTAGTTTTTAAATGTAACTCTAAAAATAAGCTCCGGTTTGCTGCTGTAGCCTGGCAATTAACTCTGTCTGTTGGGCCATAACCTCAAGCCTAGTTACACAAAATGGTTATTCAAACCCACACAAACACAGCCCTTGGCTTACACACAGAGTCACAGCAAAATGAGAGCATTGTACTCCCAACATATATACTTCTACACCCCTAGTTGGGTGTGATCACCACATCTTTTCTTACACAAAAATTTTTTTTTGAGGAAGTGCACAAGTTGAATTATGTTGAAAATTTATAAAATTTTAAACCGCCAAACCGATTCGCATCCATCCGCCAAACCGCCAATCCGCTCAATCCACATCCGCCGGATTGGCGGACGGATGCGGATTGATTTTCTTCAATCCGCCAATCTGGCGGACGGATGGCGGATTGGAGGTTCCGTGGCCGCAACCGACCCGCGCCCACCCCTAGCTGCACCAAACAGATTAACAACTTCTGATTAAAGTCATAATCTATAATATGTTAAGTTATAATCTATAAACTGCTTTAACAGTTACACAAAACGAGGCCTATAAATCGAGCTTAAATAATTTGGCTCACAGCCAACTCAAGCTAGACGACAAAGTCTTGCACCGTAGTGATTGTCAGGCTAGACAAAAACAAAAATCATTTTCAGTTTCACATTTCTGAATTTAGATTTTTTACCCCCTCACGCATCACCTACATGGCAAGCTTATCTGATTCTTCACTGAATTTTCATGTTTTTTCTCCTTGTAAATAACAACAACAACAACAACAACAACAACAAAAAAAACAAAAAAAAAAAACCTCAGCAGCTCATTAAAATAGATGAATGATTTGCCAAGTGTTTTAATCGGTGGCTATTTTATACATTTGCTTTGCTCTTTCAATTGGTGATATATTTGACTTTGGCAACTCCACATTTTTCAGCTGTGCCATGATTCAACAAAAATGACTAAAATTTCCATAATCCTTCCCTTTTCTTTTTGAAAATGATGTGAAAAGTTGATAATTAATTTATGAATTATTCAAAAGTTTTGAAATATTTATTTATCAAGTTTATAATGTTTTTTTTTAATTATATTTATTACTAATAATGGTAGTGGTAGTAGTCTCACAATAGGCAGAGTTGATTTGATCCATCTTTCTCGACTTGATTAGTTATTTGGTGCAGTTTATTTAAATTGTTTGTATATATATATATCAAAAATGTTTAAGACCCTCTTTCCGCCACACCCTTTGAACCCCTTTGCTTTTGATTGGTCTATTTTTCTTCTTTTTTTTTTTTTTTCTTCTCTCCCAATCACCAACCCCAACGTGTGTGTGGGGGTGGTGGGGGTGGGAGTTTTGAGGGGGTCTTAATCAGTCCTCTAAAAATATATATATATATAACTCTCCTCTCTCTTGATAAATTGTTTGCTGTAATTAGTCTATTCATAACTTATTATGTAGAAATAATTTTAATAAACTGAAAAAAATTAATTTCTAGAAGTTATGCGAGTATGAGGAGTGTTTTTTATCTTAACTTTTGGTTTACAATTAATTTTACCAAACAGCACCAAAATCCATTCTTACCCATTTTATTTCATATAATGTTATTGATCAAGAGTATCATATTACCATATTACGGTGTTTCTAAACTATTCAATAATTTTATTTTATTTTATTTTATTTTTCCATAGGATCACAATGTGATTGCGACAATGGCCGAAAAAATTAGTAGTGGAAGGGCCATTATTCGTCTTTAGTGAGTGAAACACCTATTCAGGGGAAATTTGGTTTGGTAGATGGTTGGTTAGATGCAGAGTATCATGATGTACGTCTTCCATTATCGTCATTATCCTTGGGTTAATTGTACTTAGTACTTTGCTATTTTTATCAAAATTTTATTTTAACCTATATATTTTAATTTCACAATTGACTTCTTACAAGTTGCAATGTGATAGATTTGTCCGTTCAACGTTAACGAGGCTGAAAGAAATTTTATGTGCGCCGTACGTGACATATTTTTTTGAGAAAAGTAGGATTTTTTTTTTGTTGGTAGAATTGGAATCTAGTAAGATTAGGTCGCAATTTTATAATTAAAATCGCGATTATTTTAAGATTTTAGGAGGCTTAAGATACTAGTATTAAAAAGGTATAGTCTAACTGATATTATAGAATCATAAAAGTCAATTCCAATTTTTCCTACTTTATATTTTATTTTATAGAAATAGCACTCAATCAAAGGGAGCATATAAGCAAGTTCAATGGTTGAAACATCTGCAATTAATTGATGGGAACCTCGAAGCTATCTGACAGTAGCAAATTCAAATTAGCCATTGCCGCAACATCAACTAGTTCAAGGAAGAGGT